AACGATGGGACCTATGTGGCCATGCCATCCCATTTCAAAATTTATACTAACTATGGATAAGCTATACTATTAAAAAAATTATTTTATTTATTCAGAAAAAACAAAACAATCTAAATAGATAGTTACTATTTTTATCTTTCACATTTTTCTTCTTCTTTTTTTTTTTCCTTTTTTCTTCTCAATGATTGGTTTATATTGCATATTTTTTATCCACACATCATCTCATTACAAGTTGACGGAACTGTGTACAGCAATGCAAGATTTGTAAACTACTAACTCGGTGCAAATTTTATAAGCTATTCCTACCCCAAACAAATATTAGCCCATACCTCCCTCCTGTGTCCTTCAAACTTTGGTGCGGTTTTTGTTTTTTTTTTTAAATATTAGCCTAGCCCCCTAGCCCAACCCATATTGTTTTCAAAATCGACCCAACCCAACCCATGCCCACTCCTGGAAATAACTAGGCCTCATCAATCGGCCCGGTCCAAATTTAATGAGCTTGGACCGGGCCGGATTGGGCTTTAAAGAGGAGAGAGAAAATGCCGGGCTAGGGCGGGCTGGATTTAAAAAAAAAATTCAAAGTTCAAGCCAAACCCATGAGTTAGGCTTGAAAATGCCCATCGGGCCGAGCCGGGCTGAAATTGGTCTACTTTATTTTGTATTTTTTTAATATTGATTTTGTTGTCAATTCTTTATCTTTTTTCTATGTTTTGGTGTGTTTCTATGTTTCGTTTTTTTTTTTCTTCATACTTCTCTATTTACATTTATCTATATGTTTATGTCTTCATTTTTTTCTTTGTTCATTTCATAAATTCACAATGCATAAATTAAAATTTAGAAAACTACAACAAAAATTCATATGCACTCTTGTGGCATTCTCTTCACCGTAAAGCTCTAATATAGGACATGGAACCTTCTCCCATTCCCTTTCCCACCAAAATTCACAGCTTGATAGTAAAGATTACAAGCAGAAAGAAATAAGAGAGGCTTCCAAGAGACATACCATGGCGGAACAAGGGGACTGTAAACAATACTTGGCTCCAAAATCTCAACAAGAACAAGTATACCCCCTCCATTGTCATTTCCCTTCAAACAATGAGAGAGCACTTTGGGAGTTAACCCTTGAGATAACAACTGTGATATAACAGATAGAGGCCCTTGGCTAAACCCAAATATCCCATCCAGTACGGTGTGTACTAGTCAAAACCCCAGACTCATAGGTACTGCGCTTGTATGTTTCCAACACCATCAGCCAAGACAATTTCAGAATTAATTCAATGAACACAACACAACATAATTACTTATAAGTTATAATAAGAGAAATTATTCTGCGTAATAGTAATTATTTTTGTTGTAAAAGATGGGACCTATGCGGCCATGCCATGCCATTTCAAAATTTATACTAACTATGGATAAGCTATATTATTAAAAAAATTATTTTATTTATTCAGAAAAACAAAACAATCTAAATAGATAGTTACTATTTTTCTCTTTCATGTTTTTCTTCTCTTTTTTTTTTTTTCTCAATGATTGGTTTCTATTGCACATTTTTTATCCACACATCATCTCAGTACAAGTTGACGGAAATATGTACAGCAGTGCAAAATTTGTAAACTACTAACTCAGTGCGAAATTTATAAGCTATTCCTACCCCCAACAAATTTTAGCCCATACCTCCCTCTTGTGTCCTTCAAACTTTGGTGCGGTTTGTTTTTTTGTTGTTTTTAATATTAGCCTAACCCCTAGCCTAGCCCATATTGTTTTCAAAATCGACCCAACCCAATCCATGCCCATCCCTAGAATTAACTAGGCCTCGTCAATCGGCCCGGTCCAAATTTAATGGGCTTGGACCGGGCCAGATCGTGCTTTAAAGAGGAGAGAGAAAATGCCGGGTTGGATTTAAAAAAAAAATTCAAAGTTCAGGCCAGACCCATGAGTTAGGCTTGAAAAAGCCCATCAGGGCGAGCTGGGCCTAAATGAGTCTATTTTATTTTGTATTTTTTTAATATTGATTTTGTTGTGAATTCTTTTTTTTTTTCTTTCTATGTTTTGGTGTATTTCTATGTTTAGTTTTTTTTTTCTTCTTCATAGTTCTCTATTTACATTTATCTATATTTATGTCTTCATTTTTTTCTTTGTTCATTTCATAAATTCGCAATACATAAATTAAAATTTAGAAAACTACAACAAAAATTCATATGAACTCTTGTGACATTCTATTCATTGTAAAGCTCTAAAAGAGGACAAGGAAAAAGTGCCTTCTAAGTTGACATAGTTTGATGTAGCTCCAACATTATTGATATGGCTTAAATTCAGTTGTGGCAAGGTGTTTGATGAAGCATATATAAATATCAAATGGTGTAGCAAATAATCACTTTTACTAAGTTGTTGATTGTGATGAAAGTGGTAAGGGTTCGAAACCCCTTGTGTGTGTCTCCATTTCCTTTCACTTTTAAACTAAATTTATATTTATATAAAATATATAGGCTTGCGGGCTGGGCCTTAATGGGCTCTGCGAGCTGGGCTTTCATGGGTTCAAACAGGCTTGGCCTATGGGCTGGGCTGGACTTTACCCACCTAAACCCAAGCCCAACCCACTAAATATCGGGCCAAACTGGACTTTTTCTCGATGGGCCAGGCATGGCCCCATCAACCCACGGGCTCGTGGGCCAAATGATGACCCATAGAAATAACTACATAGAAGCTCCATCATCCCCCATCCACAATTGCTTCTTCTATTTCTTTATTACTTTGTTTCACTCCATTGGCAGCCCATTGAAACACCTCTAAACCAATATTCACTTCATGGGTAAGTCATATTCATGTCTTCTTAGCTCGTTTTTCACTTTCGATTTTTCTATTTTTTGAGTAATTCATTTAATATCAAGAGTTTAGGGTTGGTTTACTATTAGGATATTTTAATTGATTGATAGGTTGATTCGGTGAATATTGATTCAGATTCAATAATTCAAGACTTTGATTCACTCAAGGAAGACAGGGTTCCACTTAACTAGGCAAGGTTTATTTTTATTTATTTATTTATTTTTTTACAATGCACTATTTGTTTTGATGCTTTTTCTTTCCAACAATATGTGTTTAATTTGGTGTTTATTTATAAATTATTATTTTTAAATATAAGATAGATCTCTCATTGGAAAAAAAAATTTAGTCCACCCTTATAAAAATTCATGGTTACGCTCTTATTATTAAGGGTGGTTGAGTGCCTTTAAAATAACTCACCCGAAAATAATGGATGTTGAAGAGTCAGCAATATAGAATTGCCCCTGAATCTAGTCAAAATGTAGTGTATCCGATATGTAAAGATGACTAAGTGTCCCACTTGTTAAGATGAAGAGAAACTGAAGAACAGAGTAAAGAAACTATAGAAGCAGAGAGAATTTCAAAGAAGGAATTGTAGGTTTATGTATTTCGTTAAGCTCTAACTGAGCACATTACAATCTTTATATCAGCCTAACTACAGTCTTAGCTGGCTACTCACTTTGCTAACAACTCTAACCACATTCTAATAGCTTACTCATTGATCTGTTGACACTTGGCAATATGATCATCATTGATACTCTTACATCCCCCCTCAATCTCATGCTTGGAGGAGCCAAGCATAAGATTGGAATAGTGATGTGGAAAAAGAGAGGCAATGAGGCCGTTCGTAAGAATATCTTCAAACTGTTCGGCAGAGGAGACATGTTGCAGACGCAAGCATGGCTGAGTAACAAACTGCATGAGCGCAAGGATTTGGAGCAGTGAAGAACTGTGGTACAGAAAGAATAGGAGCAAGCAATATCCGAAATGTGGAAAACCAGAGTGTACAAACAAGATATAAAGTTTCTGTAAAACCAGGAGGTTGAGCTATGTGTTTGAGTTTCCACTGAAAACCACCAGCCAATGCCAAAATGAAACTAACAATGGCATCAAGTTTTTGTTCGAAGTAATCATCAAAATGGACAATTTGTTCCATTATTTGATTAAACAACTCATGCCTTATGTGAAACCTATTACCAAAAATCTGACGAGGGATACCACAGATGGTTAGAGAAGTAATTTTGAAAAAGGTTTTCATGGGCACTTACTTGATCTCTTGTTATAGTACGTCGTCGTGACGATGTACCCCCGTGGACAACCATCGAGGCCTGCTCCTTCTTCTTCGCTGCTTTTTTCCTTTGGTAGCTTTCGAACATTTCTAAAAACATTATGTTGGTACCTATCTCATCACTAGAAGAGCTATCATATCCATTGTTGGCCATTCTAATGTGGTGGTAGAAGAATGAATATTGAGAATACAAGAGTTGGGAGGTGGTGTGTTATGAAAACAAGGTGGTTGTTCATTTATAGAGGATATGATGGTTTAAGAGATAACAAATATATTGATGAGATTCAAATGAGGTAATTGGATCTAACGGTTATTGTAAGACGTATGAAGAGATAAGATTTTTTATCTGAAGCCATAACGAATGAGACCCATATCCATCTACCACTATTATTATTTGACAAATGTAAATGGCATAGGATGGAAGACCATAACGAAGGGGACCCATATCCAGCTATCACCATGCTACCACAATTATTATATGATAATGTAGATAATAGAGGGGTGGAAAGCCATAATGCAAGGGACCCATATCCAACTTTGGGAGGACCACCAAATTAATGTTGTACATCTTGTTTTAATTTAACCATGCTGTTGTATCGTATCTATGGTTTAACAGAGGAGAGAGAGAGAGAGAGAGAGAGAGAGAGAGAGAGTGGAGGGAATGGGAAGGAAGAGATGAAAGAGAAGAAAGAGAAGGAGAAAAAAAAAAGAAAAAAAAGAAAGAGATATAAATTTACAAAAATACTGCTACTGTTAACCCGCTCTTAATGGGTTAACGGGTATTTGCGAATTAACCCGACACTATCTACACGACCCGATAATTCAGACCCGAATACTAAATTTTTTATGCGAATTCGTGTTATATTTACGGATCGTGTACAATATTTCCAGGTCTCAACCCCACAATCCGTGGTCAAGTTTTGTTCCATAAATGAGACTCTGACCAAATTTGACCCGTTGGCCGTACTTGATTCGAGTTTGAGCATTCTTTTAGGGTTGAGGGTTGTTTCAAAGTTTGCATTTGGAAAATTCCTTATTGCCTTATACTGGGTTTTACAGTACACTCGATTTCTGCCCTTCCTCAGCCACGCTCCAAAATGAGGTTCCTTTTCGCTCTCTCTCTCTCTCTCTCTCTCTCACTATAGACAGATTTATTTGATTTTGTTTTTTTGTTGTGTTTTGTGGTGTGAATAGTCGGCACCCGGAGGTTCTGTGGGCCCAGCGCTCCGATAAGGTGTACCTAACGGTGGCGTTACCTGACGCCAAAGACATCAACATCAAGTGTGAGCCTCAGGGCTCCTTCAGCTTCTCCGCCATTGGAGTCCAAGGTGAGCCCTTTCACTTCACTTTGGACCTTTACGGACCAATAACGCCTGATGGTTGCAAAACTAAAGCTGGGTTGAGGAACATCCTCTGCTCAATCCAGAAAGATCAGAAAGGTTGGTGGAAACGGCTGCTCAAGACTGAAGAGAAGCCTGCACCTTACATTAAGGTTGATTGGAACAAATGGTGTGATGAGGACGAGGAAGACACTACTAGTGAGTTCTTTTTTTAACATTTCATGAAGTGGGTTATTTTTGCTGTTGCATTTGGAACTAATGTATTTGTATATTTCATTTTAGCTGCTTTTTAAAATTTATTTGTTACCTTGGTTTTATTTTTAGTTATCACTGTCTTTTTTGTTGCGAGCAAATTTCTGATATCCTCTGTAATTGGGTATGTTTATTTGTTGGGTTGTGTAGTTATGAGTTTTAGCAACCAGTTTGTGACTTACAAGGTGAACAGTGAAACAGAAATGAACTTTAATATAGTTCTTGTTATGATGAAGATGTTGTTGTTGATACTGCCACTATTTTGCTAACCATGATATGTGAAAAAAGAGCCAGGAGGGGAAATGTGAAGCAGGAGGTGGAATAAATTTCCCAACAATTCAAGAGATATTTGTTTACGTAAAGGCCCTAGATTGGTAGGTAGAGTAGAGGTATGTTGCGTTTTCTATCTGCTGCGCTTGGTGTTGTCTAGTCTGAGTAGTTAAAGATTGAAAGGAGAGAAGCAGCACTATCTGGTGATTTCATTTCCTCACTAAGATGTGTACGAAAGGCTAAAACCTAGCACCTTTACTTTCATAGGCTTATATTTTTAACAAATAGGCCATAGGGATTCACTCATAATTATCGTTATTCGAAGGTTAAAAAATAGCAGAGAACGACCAAAGTTCCAAGTAGTTGGAAAAAGAGAAAGCAAAGATTCACAAGCTCCGTGTCTTTTTCATATTTGTAGAGTCAATTGAGTATCTACAACTTCTCACCATACTTTGTGCTGTAAGGATGTAGAGGTGTGATCAGTGACCTTGTGTTCGTTTATATTTCCTAGTAGCATGTAAGGATGTAGAGGTGTGATCAGTGACCTTGTGTTCGTTTATATTTCCTAGAGAGGAAAGGGAGATGCTGGGAAGAGAGTCAATTTAGGTGGCAGTTCAGCAATTTTGTTAAACAATTCTAGGTTCCTCGAATACGATCTGGTTGGGAAATGCATCTTTTGGGGTTAAAAGAGATGAAATGCTAAACCATTTCTTCATGAGATCAACCCTCATTTTTACTTTTTGGAGAGTAACTACATAGCTGGTTCTATTCAATAGATTTTGATTTTCTTTCAGCTATGTTTGCACATCGTTCCTTTTGTTCTTCTCTCTTTTGGGTCAAAATCGTACTCCTTGTAAAAGTCAGTTTATTTGCTGCCAGCTGTATCTTGTCTTCAATAAATCCCAAGTCCACAAGTTGCAGTTTCCCCTGCATTATCATGCTGGTCACTGCTTTAACCGCTCCAGCCCACCCCAAATCAGGAAAAAATTCCTAAATAATAGCATAGCTCTAACCCACACCCATCACCAAACTTCCCCACCTAAATGGCTCTGCCCACCCCGATGTGAATGGCTAGCTACATGCCTAGGTGGGCTAAATGTCTGTTATCTGGGCGTTGACATAAGACTTCCAAAACTAACGCAAAGTTAGCTAATGGGTTTTTTGGTAGATTACACATTGTAATGGAATATCGTGGGAGGGGTCCTTATTAAGATTTTCTATAGATAGGGGTTATATTAGTATTTTCACTCAGGGGTATTTATGTCTTTTAAAGAGATGACAGGGAAAATTAGGTAATATTTAGATTTCTAATTTTAGTTTGAGGATTAGTTTAGTGAAAGGTCTGTTTTTTTTTTTTTTTGTTGTTGTCTGTTTAATTTGGGTTCCTAAAGTTCTGCGGAAATCCTTTTTCCAAATTTATTATATTAGGATTAAGATCTGTATAAGTAAGGCTTTGTAATAAAAGTAATTAGGAAACTTTAGGCAGTTTGTGTTGTTTTAATGATGAGATAATCTAAATATCATAGTCCGCAAACCCCACCAACACTCAAAGAATCAAAGTGAAAAAATATATACCAAAAATGATGTAAGAATTAGAAACAACATCCTTAGGTTACCATCAAAATGTGAAGTTCACAAGGGATTTGTAAACTTTTAGTACATTTTGCATTGCTTACGTTTGAGTTTGAGTTTGTTTTGTTTTCCTTCTAAAAGATAGAAATGTTTATATGCTTTTTAAAGACATTTGTAATTGAATGTGTTCTTAAACATACCACAGTAAATTATATAAATTGTGTCGGCTATTAATATTTCTGCATGTATGCATAGCACAAAACAGCAACCTTGTACCTCCTATTTTCAGACTGTATCCAGCTAAGAAGCCCCAAATTTGATCCTCATCCAAAAACCTTGCATCTAACTTCTACTTTTTGCCCTCTGTTCCAAATTAGCATCTAAGTTATGGTGCCCGAACATTTGGGGATGATATGCTATCCAAATTGGGGATCTGGTGCTTAAGGACTGGATGGATTCATTTTAGGCGTGATGAAGTCCTTTAAGGTGATTCAGGGGAACATATTATTATCAGATTGTTTGAGGTTGTGCAGAATTGTCATGAATGTTACTTATGATGTTATTTTTAAGGTGCATCTTGTAATGTGTGTGTGTGTGTGTGTGTGTGTGTGTGTGTGTGTGTGTGTGTGTGTGAGTGAGAGAGAGAGAGAGAGAGAGGAACCGAATAACTTGTTTACTGGTTAACAGCTCTAGCCCATCTTAGTTTTCAAATAGAAAACTTAAATGCCATCTAGATTGTTTTCTTTTTAGCTACTTAACATTAATTAGATAAATAAGACTGATTTTCTTTATGTGTATTTGTTGTTTACTATAAGGTTGATATGAGTTCAGAAACCACAATTTGAACCGGCATGTAGTATCTCATCCAAAAAACTTTGACATGCTTAATAAAAAACTGGCACCCATCTTCTGTCATGTGTGGTAGCAAAAATGTCCATCACTCTTATATCCATGCCTAGCTTCTAACTACCTCACGTAGTTTTGACGCAATCTCTCTGGAGATGCAATTATTTTAGAGCTTCAGCATTTATTCACAGAAAAGAATTTATATCATCTGAGAAATTTGGAATTAGTTTTGGTTTCACTATGGGACATCCATGCTGGAACTGTAGCAGCAGGCCACCATTAGTAAGGATGATATGACAGCACTGGTCTGGTCATGCTATAGATACCAATGGGTATGACTATCCATAAGATGCTGTTATTGTTCACTTGAAATCCCATGGTTGGCCTTGGGATGCCATTTGGGCTGTATTATTGTTGCCTTTAAATTGATAATCTTTAGAATCATGTGCCGGGAATTTACTTTAGTTCTTGAGAGAAACTTTTCTGGATCTGACTGAACTTCTGTGTGGTCTTTTGCAGCTGATTTGGCCTCTGATGATGACGATGCTGCGGTAAATTTGACACCCTATATCATAGAGTATTGAATTAAGTTCATCTAATCAGGTAAAATGGATTTTTTACTTTTGCAGTATGTCGGTCAAGATGGTGGAAGCAGTGATGATGATGGAATGCTCTGTAAGTCTATATTTCCATTTGACCCATGGAGATGTTAATCATAGTTTCTTTATAGAAAGATGTGCATTGGTTGCGTTTTCCTGAATTTTAAAATTATTCCGGTCATATGCGCTGGTTAGCCTTGTGAAGAGTTTGCAAAACTTCTTCCACTAGATAATGTGGCAGCATAGACAGCCAGCCAGTGGCAGCATCCTGTGTTTGCCAAGTTTACTAGTGGTTTGAGTAGTGCGATATGCATTGCATGCCACATAAACTGTCACGTTGATATATTTCAAACCAAAATTTGTGGACTTTTAGTACATTTGGCATTTCTTCTTATTGTTGAGTTTAAATTTTGTTTGTCGTCCTTCTAAAGATGAAATGTGCATTTGCATTTTTAGACATTTCTAATTGAGTGTGTTTTTAAACAAACCATAGTGTATTATGTAGGCTGTGTGGGCTTTTCTATGCATAGCACACCCACACACACACACACACATTCTCTCTCTCTCTCTCTCTAAAGCCTACAATCACTTTTGTCTCCATTATTTTCAACTTTCAGTCAGTCCATTTCTCTTTTAATAGAAGAAATGCATGCGCTGCATTTTAGGACATTGCGATTTCGGTCTGTTCTTGAAAAAATTAGAGAAAATCATATGAACTGTGTTGGGTGTTAAAAGTGCTGCTTTCGTTACGCATGCTACATGCCTTTTCCGCTCTTTCCCCCCTCTCTCTCTCTCTCTCTCTCTCTCTCTCTCTCTCTCTCTCTCTCTCTCTCTCTCTCTCTCTCAGTGTTCTTTAACACCTGGTTTTGGATTGTTTAACAGATCTTCCGGACCTGGAAAAGGCAAGAAAGTGAGCAATTTGGGATGGACAGCATGGAACTCTTATGAGCTAGATAGAAATTAGAATAGGGAAAGTTCACTTCATGGAAGGCAGAACTTTGGACATGACAGATCCTTGTAACTATTTGGTTATCCTCATGCGCTAAACTTGGTCTCATCTTTGATTCTAACTCACAGTTTTCAAGAGGCGGAACTAAATTACAGGGATAGTCTGTCCATTGTGAATCTTAAAATTATAACAGCAAAAAAAAAAGAAAAAAAACATGTAGACCAGTTGCTGTTGTAATACATACAGATCATCTTTAAGCTGACACCTCCTGTTGCTATATGATGTTTGTTAATAAATAGGCGGTTTAAAATCACAAATGGGTGCTACTGCTACTTATTTATCCTACATGTCAAAAGCCAGTCGTGTGGTTTTAAACTTTAATTTTGTTAAAAATACCCTTATGTTCTCCATCACATTTAGTGGTAATTTTGTTAAAAATGCCCTTATGTTCTCCATCACATGTAGTAATCTTTCCACGTTAAGGATGGAATTTGTGAAGTTAGCCAAAAAGTTTCTTGTTTGGCTAACGTAAAAGACAGAATTTATGAAGTTTCTTATTTGGCTAACGTAAAAGTGTCGTAGGATTTAAACACAAAATTGATCGCTTTATCAATCTATAGATTAGCGGTGGTATGGTGGTGGCAGTTGCAGTTACATCATATTTGATGTATGTAGTAACTGAATGAATGCTTTGAATCAGTAACTGAATGAACGACGGAAGAGAAGCTGCTTATACAATAACTCCATTATTATCATGCCAAATAGTGTGACAAAACCAACATGTAACTTGTTTTTGGTGTTCTGCCAAGGAGTATAGTCTTGATAATGATTTACAAATGGACACATGCAACCTACCCTTCTCTCTGCATTTTCCAGGGAGACACCGTGCCAAACCTGATGCACGATGAAGTCTATTTAGTATTGACAACACGGACAGGGATAACTGGAATTGAATCCCACCATTCTTTTAGTCGTCTGCTGCTTTGGTTCTCCCCCTTGCCCATCCCTAACCTCGACGCCAATGTCATAGTGAAGCAACACAATATTCCTGCCATTATAACTAACTTCATTGGAACCACTGCTAAAAATATTGCTACCGCACTCATCGCCATCATCGCCATATCTGCATGCTGCAATAACAATCGATAATTACTTCAGTTGAATGAAACTGAAATAAGTAATCAACAAAATTTCAACAGTAAATTACTGGCAGAACCGGCAGAATATGATGCGCTTACAAGAACTTCAAATAAGCATGAAAAAAGTGACAATAACATGAGCATTGACATTTGAACCATTAATTGAATTCCAAGTACCCATCAAATTCATATTTAAACTACTGCGGCATGCTGTCACTCATCTCGATGCCAATGTTATGCTCACATTTCTGATACTTCTAATAAGAGAATTTCTCGTTCGCTCACATTTCTTAATTTCCTTTTCTTTTTCTGATATCCCTATAGTTAGAACTGGAAATCACAGTGAGTTGTAGAAGTAAATGTATAGCTTGGCACTGTAAATACCTTGCGAGCCTTTGAAATAAATATGGACCACAACTTCATTAATGAAACATTTGCCGTTTGCACCATTTCGTGCACAGTTTGCATTCCATGTTGAGCAGAAACTATGCTTTCCATTGTACTCTGGTCTGATGCAGTGCACACTACTATCTCATTGCATTTTGTATCAAGCCTTTGTAGTCTGGCTCTAAACATCTTTGCAACCAGCCACAGCAAGAAAGCTGCTATTGCTTTGCCAACCCATTCCCTAAATATTAGTAATAAGTTATTGTTAACTAAATCTCATCACAACTTAGCTTAAGTAGCACTTCAGTTAGAGAAAACACTTACTGGTAAGTCACTATTAAAGCAGCAGCAATCACAACAAGGGTGGTTGACGGTCTTTCCCATGTGAGGACTTCTTCAAACCAAGGCACAGAATTTCTAAGGGGCCTTAGTAACTCCTACATGAAAAAACGGCACAGTAATGAGGGATGTATGCGAATGTGCACCTAGTGAGGAGACAATCTAAAAAAACCACATCCATACTAGTGCACCATAAATATGAGAGGAACATACTAGAGATGGTCACCTAGTGAGAAGAAGATCTTTATAGGGGTGACTTAAATGGTCATACAGGTAAGATAACGGACATAAAAAGATCCATACGGGTAAAGTTTGGGGGAAGGGAAGAGGGAAGAGAGGCCTTCTTGTAATTTGCTACTGTATATCATTTATACAAATCTGTGCTTTAGGAAGAGGAATGCGCACTTAATGACATTTATAAGTGTATATAATATTAGTCACATAGAATAATTTCATAATTACTTCAAAGATATACCAAGGAGTAAGGATTTCAAAGTAATTATTCCTGGAGAAAATAGCTCCACAACATAGATTAGTCATTGTATGAAGAAAAGAAACAGGAAAAAGGGACAGCCATGAACAAATGGAAGAACGTGGTTAAAGATAGTGCAGAGCCTCACCACATAGTGGCAATGGAAGAAGAGAATTCAAGTACCGGATTCCACATGGTGGGATTAAAACCTAGTTGAGCTGAGTCATTAAATGGAAGTTCTCCTAAAGTGACATCAATGGGGGTAAGATGCTTACCAAAAAGATAGTAGCGCTTTCGCTGATTCCCTCCTCTTTCAGTTCCTTTGTGGTAGCTTTGGCAATTGCAATTTCCTTTTCTTCCTCTCTTGATTGATTAATTGCAGTTTCTAGTTGGAAACTGTCTTCATCTTGAACAGTTGGACTTATACTTTCCTTGCCAGCTTCTGTTACGTCTAAACGTGAGATGATTGACTCTGACATGTTCATAGTCCTTAGAATGGAACTAGCACTGCATGGGTGCCCGCTATTGACCTTCTTTAGATTCTCAGCAAGCTCTTCCAGAACATAGTCTCCCTTTGGTAACTCATCGAACAAGGAAAAAATTAAGAATCTTGTCGGTGTAGGGGGTGATATTCTTAGCATTTCTCTTGCTGCATGAAGCCTTGTTATTGATAGTATTGTCCTTGCATGCATCTCCCATGCTTGTATTGGACATTTTATTTCATACTTTGCAAGGAAACGGTGCATCAACATAATCTCCTTTGTGAGTGCAAGCCAGTGGTCACGTCTTGTAGAGCTTGTTACCTCAGGAAACTCCAGAACTATCCCCTCTGATCTAGAAAATTGGTGAGACGAGTAATTCAAAACAAAAATATCATGATTTTAACAAACTTTGCATTGTTGTGTTTCTGTTAGGGTAGATGTCACATCCATACAATTGCCACAAGGAGGGCTAGAAACCCTTCAGCATTTAGCATGAAACAAGTTGAGTCAAAACATGCACTATGAAGTTTGCAGCAATCCATTTTTCAATCAAGTTATTTGCTCTACAATGCCACATGGCACTCTAGCGAAGGTTTTAGTTTTTCAGTGTCAAATACTAGTATCTAAAAATTCGATGCAGAGTAATATGTCCTTACAAATCAGGAGACTCATAAACTATAGCCTTGTCAAAAAGTGGGGCACCCCATGGCCCTGTTGCAGCTGGTTTCACACTTTGCTCCATATCCTTTGAAAGGTCTATTTTAAGGGCATCTTCATATGTTATAACTCCAGAAGCCTCAAAGTAGAGTGCGTAATTTGTTAGTGTAAGCCTACCTGAAATAAAAACACCAATTCATGGTTGGCCAGATTGAAGCAATTATTTAATTCTGGGGAAAAAAAATATAAGTTTGTGATTATCAAAGTTGTCCTTTTAAACAAACCAGGCCAACTTGTTCCTCCAATGTGGCGCACTACTCTCTGTGTGCTAGCAGTTCCCTCCACGTGTAAAATGAATTCGTCATCTGCAAGCTCCGCACCCTTGGGCTTTGCATGTTTTTGCAAATGTTTTATACATCTACAAAAATCAAAACAGTACACAAAAGGAAAAAGTTTGAACAATCTTTTCAAAACGTTAAATGTAAGCATACTTTTATGAGTTACACTACCATTTGTCATCTGCTACCCCGTTTAAATGTATTTGGCTCAGTGGATAACTAAATTAGTCTGCAAGCAGGTTGTTGATGTATTCTTAATCAGACTACACAATGTTTGGCTTCCTAACCTCGAGAATCTCCATAAATGTGTATGAATGGAAAACTAGGTTTAAAAACTAATGCAGATCCGACTGATGTGATAGTTCCAGTAATCAATCTTGCATATGATAAGGTTCAAATTCAAGTATTGGTCAAAGACTACATTTAGATTAAGTTTGGACATGTCAAATGAGTGTTATTGTCTTCTTTAGTCTAAAATGCATAGCTGCTAGTCTTTTACAATGCATGTTTGCCATAGAGTGTATTAAAGAGTGTCTCCAGCAATATTATTCGTGTAGATGCTTACAATACATCATCAAAATGCAATATAGGGTTAGATGCATCACCTGTCAATTTCCTTTAAAAATTTGTCATAGGCAGGAAAATGGAGCCGGTTTCCTGTAGGTGCTGTTAAAGTTTCAAAGGTAAATCTCCCATTAACAACATCTGCAACTAGTGGAACCAGCGATCCCAACCACACAAATGCATCTTCTCCAACATCTTGCTCATTATCAACCTGCCAGACAGTACATAAAGCATGAATAAGAAAATACAAACATACTTACAAACTACAAGGAGGGATAGAAGACTATTGTTCAAGCCACTGCCATTACTTCATACCAAAACTTGGTTCAATCCATAATTCCATGTATGCTTTGTTCTCGAAATATCAATGCTTGCAAATTAAACTTTAAGAACTGATATAGCTTACAAGAAGTGGCATGATGTCAGAATAGAACAGAGAGATCTCATCTTGTTCTGTAGAAAATTTTGCAGGTACTTTTTTCTCTTCTTTCTCCTTTGCCACACACTCCTGAAAACCCCAAAGATATGACACATGTTGCAACAGCAATAGAAATACTAGAGACGAAACCAAAAAATAAATTAAATCCCAATAATAAGGAGTCTGGTAGGAAAAAAAAATTAATACCATGTGTTACAAAGCTGAATAGGTACAGCAATTAGAAACAGTGACATAATCATCATTTAGGGTAGGGCTAAGGTTAGAGGATTTAGGGTAAGGCTAGGGGAATAGTTAGAAGAAACTAGCAGAGGTGGAGGTAATTAGGAACATTTGAAATAACTAATATGCAATTAAATATTAGAAATGCATATCTTCTTTTTTCTTCCCATAAAAATATGAATGTGTCAATGTATTATAATAATAACTACGTCGCGATATATGAAATCACTTATCCTCCCAAATAGACCCTGTAAATGATGCAAAAAAACGAAAGTAAAATTTATCTACCCTCCTAAGAACAGCTTCTTGGATTCAGGGCATACACCTAAAATCTCATTTGATTTTATTCTTAGTAAAACAGATCGAATTTGTCGAAATTGCATTATGAATTTATTTGGTCTTTGATAATTTTGATCCACTAGACTTTGCAATGTAACATATAACATATGTACAAACATTACTCTATAAAACTCATAGAGGCATCCAAACCAGAGTTAGAATTACTAATATTCACAATCATATGCAAAGTTGATCACTATTTTTTCTGTTCAATAAAAATGGAAAAAGTTAATCAATCAATCACCGTGAAAGATTCTTCGTCCGCAGAAGCAGGCATCTCCCAAGCGAGCATCATGTCGAAAGTGAAGCGGCTAAAAGACCCATCCGCAATCTTTTCCTCAATGGTTTTGCAAATGTCACGAGTCTGCAGAACCTTGGCACTGCAGAATTCTACAAATTTCCTCCCGTAACTATTGTTGTTATTATTAGTAGCAGTAATATTATGACCAACCGGCGCCGTTTCATCTGCCTTCCATATAGTCTCAAATTCCTCCACCAGTTTCTCCACAGGAGTTTCCAATTTTCTGCCACATAACGTAATCATTTAACGAATATATATATACACACACAACCAGTTTTATATTTTTATATATCCAACAATTTGGAGAACAACATCTATAGGAGGATTTAACAAACATATACACACTTTTATTTAGCCGTTTCATCTGCCTTCCATGTAGTTTTCTAAGAGAGAGAGAGAGAGAGAGAGAGAGAGAGAGAGAGAGCGATCACTTACGGAGCACAGCTTTGTACGACGTCGTTGGCAATGGAGGAAAGATGTTTCAATCTGTTTGCCATTGTTGAGTTGGTTGCAACGTTCAGATTAGGTTGCAGAAGTAGTGTGATTTGCAGAGATAACCTTTGGCTTAATAGGGAGAAGAAAGAAGCGGTGAGATGTGTTTCTTGATGGAGCTGCCACGTTTGGATGGCCATGCAGCATTGCAAGTACACTTGTTGCACGTCCCCTATTTCCCTCAGCAAATCAATCCTCGCTCCAACTCTAGCAAGCGGCTAGAATGAGGGGCGGATAGTAGCCTTTCGATCAATCAAACGGTATAAAACAACCTGCTTGCAAGCAATTACCTGTTTCTGAATAACCCACAAATAAATCCAAACCCAAATGCGTTGCTCTCTTTGGCTCCATCTCACTTCCGACCTACCCTTTGGCTAACCTTGGTTATAGCCCAGGGGACTTTGTCTTTTTTAACCCTAAACTAATATACCCAAAAGCACAGCCAATGGACAACCATGCACTGCACTCCTTTATTGATTGTGCGCCATGTGGATACTCCACTGTTATGAGCTTATGACTATCCACACATCACACTCGTTTTGTTTTGGATTTTTTTTCTTTTTTTAAATGAAATTTTGCACTAAAAACCCTTCACTTTGTTTTTTGGGGTACAAAAAGGGGCCAAAGGCCAAACACAAACAACCCCCACTTTTTGGTTTTAAACAACCCTTATTTTCTTTTTTTCAGGTAGAAAATAACATGCCCTTTACTTCAGGCACCTTTGCACGTAGAAAACATAAAAGAGATATGTACTAGATGCATTTTGAGGGGTAATACTCATTATTTCCTCTTGATTATGATATATTTTTGTGATCGATGAAATTCACTTGTATTGTCGAGTTTTCTATCTTCTTAATAGGTTTGTGTGTAATGTAAATTTAGCCCACCCCAATTTAAAATTCTGGGTCCGTCCCTGCTTCCGATGGTTGCCTACCCTAAGATAAGATTTATTTGTTTTTTATACAAAAAGAAAAAAAAGAAAAAAAAGAAAAAACATAGGATCTCGGATGCAATGTGTAACCACATGAACTAGAAGTCTCTTGCAGATAAATTTATTAATAAAGGCAGTTTAGTTTATCTTCAAAATTTTATGATTTGGAACTACATTTTTCTGTTCCCCCAACAATTATAGATGTTGAAGAGCTTGGAGATTGGATGAAGACTTGGCTTGCCCAACATCCTATGTTTGAAGCTCTCACAAATAAAGAGCTTGGTCTATGAAATCTTTCATAAACAAATAAATCCTACGTTGGACTTGTATCTTATTATTGTCCGTTCTAAGAGCCATATATGAGGCCCTCACTATAGAACTCTTAGACTTGTATCTTATTATTGCCCGTTCTAAGGGCCATATTCACGATAGAATTCTTGTCCTTAGGAAACATGCCTCAGGTAAATCAACCCAAATCACAAACAACTAATTGACTTGATGTGCCGCCTAACGGACACCCAATTTGATTTCAAAATGTGGACACGCAACAAAAAATCAGCCAGGATATAGTCTTATATAAACCAACCTCCGCCTCGAGGAGAAGGTATCTGTTCCTTGAAACTAAAAAACCCACTTTACTCATTGCTCACGGCTAACTTTGGCATTAAAGAATCTTTGGCTCACACCAGTGTGTCTGAAGGTTGAACTTTGTCTCTTTCTTCGTAGTTTGAAGGCACAAAAGTCCTTCCAAACTGCCGAAGAGACTCATTCCCCACATTAATGCTATGAATTTTATTTTTATTTTAAAATTTGGCTACCACCTGTCCAAATGAATTAGAATATCGCTTGACTTCTCAGTATTGCAAAAATATCATATCTTTTCTCCGGAAAATATGACTTCATTTTCCATGACTCCAATCCAAGAGTTGGTTACTTAACATCATAGACCACTTCCATCCAAAGCCAATCTTGTAAATAGCAAACCTTCACATCAGAGGAGAATTACCAAAATATGAATTGTCGGTGAATTTACAGATTGGACCACAGAAATCTAGGATCTTGTTCATAGAATTTCAAACCAAAAATTGACTAAGATTTTGAAAGAGATTTTTTTCTCCAGAAACGAAAATTGAATGGCAATAACTCAAATGTGGTTCAAGATGTCTGAACTATCAATAATGTCGCGTCCTTAACTGGAAAAGTCTATTCTCTCTGCTCTTTGCTATCACTATCTTGCAAAACTTCACATCAACTGTTTATGTCGAAACTAACTGACTGCAGATTCAACAAGAAAACAAGTCTATGAACATGAAAATGATAGGTGCCAAGGATCAGAAAGGGAAATAAAGCAGAAAGAGAAACGATTTTTCATTCATGCCTTCTGAACCACTTTTCTTGATAGAAAAATATCATTCTACAAACAAGCTTCTAATTCCCTACTACAACAAGATTCTGTAATTACATACAAGGAACTAACAGTGCGCATGCTCAATAAGCGTACTTCATGAGATAGAATCCTTCCCTTTGTTTTGCACCAACGATCCAAAATCTTTAGGTGGCCATATCTAATGACAAAAAGATCAAAAATAAGAAATCATAGTATTCTAGTAGTAGAAAATAGAAATACCCAAGAGACAGTTCATTGTTCACATTCATTGGACTTCAGTTCTAGCAGTAAAAATACATATTCTCAATCTTTCCTGGGAAAAACATAACAGCATGTATCTCATCACTTGCAAATTTTTACCACATATTCATTACTATTTGAACTTCTATCGAACTACACATTATACAGTCTCTCCCAAACCCACTAATCATACCACTCATAAATTCAAAGGCATATCCTTTTAACAATTCCACTTGAAAACCAACATAGATGTGTTCCTTTATGCTGAGCGATTCAATCTAAAACCAATGTAGAAGGATGCATATGCAAATAATTCAAATTGAGGTACAAGAAGAAAAGATTCTCACCCTCCAAAAGACTCTGCCTTGTAGAAGGCCATAAGGAACCGGCCCGAATTTTCTTGAATCATTTGACTCATAGATGTTGTCTCCCTCTATCCAAACATGCCCCTTAGGAACCTAGTAGCACCAACAACAACAACATAATCTCCTAAATCCCAAAACAACAAAAACGCAAACTTTCAAACCCAAAAACCCAGAGCCCAAAACAAAACCAACACTACAAGCTTAAAAGTGGAACATTAACATACCACAATAGTCTCAGACTTGTCACTGTTCTTAGGGTCGACAACATATGTAACAGACTGGCCTTCCATGGCTATCAAGCGCTTGGTCATGAACTTCCAAGGAACCTCAGGGGACTGTACGAGTACAATGTCCCCAACACCCAGTTTGTCAAACTGGGTCGAGATGCGTTCAGCCAAGCACAAATTACCGGCCAGGCCAAGGGTTGGGAGCATGCTGGGACCGTAGGACTGTATACACAGAATCACAACCCATTTCAATTCCCTCTGGTAATATTTTTACCTCAGCTCATTGAATTTAAATCCCATAAAAAAAACATTAAAAAAAAAAAAACAAGAGAATTGTCTAAGAATGAGAGAGTGGTGTGATTAGAACTTACCAGAGTGACGGTGAAAAGGTGTGTCTTGGTGACTTGGAGGCAGCAGAGCAACTTTACCAGTCGTGGAAGGATGTCGCTTACGTCTCTCCCTGTGTTTTTAAATGCCTCCAAAGCCAAAAACTCCCTTATGTATCTCGACGCCATAGGAGAGTACAGAGCATATACAGACGGTTGGGGGAGAGAGAAGGAGGTCGTATAATCTTTGAGATGGATAACAAGTATATACATTAACATGACACCTACCATAAGTTAGGGCCCGGTTGGATGGAAGCATTTGGATTTCAAATCCATGCATTTGAAATTCACATAAAATAATAGATAATAAGATGAAAACTAGTGATGGAATGGTACATAAAATGAAAACTAAAACATAAAACAATTTCCAATTTTTTTTCAAGTTTTTCATACATTCTCCATTTCCCCATCCTCTCCTCTTTCCTCTTCCCTCCCTCCTCCCTTCTCCCTATCTCATTTCCTGCACATGATTTTTTCTCTCCATCTTTAACTTAAAGTATAAAAGAAATTAATAACTAAATAAATAAAACTCATAGCCGAAAGCAAAATGGTTGCAAAGCAGCCCTGACATCCATTTCAACATATCACATCCACTGAAAAACTAGTCGACTTCTCAAACCCAAAAGTTTTTAAAAGCTATGCTGCATCTATAGCATACTGAGAGAAGTCTCTTCCCTTCAAGCATAACATTAATTGCATCCATATCAGCTTCAACTTAGGAAGCCCTAATAGTACAAAAGAGAAAAATTTAAACAGTCGGATGAAAACTTTAGAACAGGATTTAGAATAGACCAAAACTACAATAATCAACAATTAAAGGCCTAAAATTATGAATTAAATAACCTTGCCTAAAGTTTTCAACCAGTCTTGGCACTTTTACCAGAAGCAGTCAGCTTTTTCCAGAAGAAAGATAAGTTAGCAATACCAAATAGCCCACCTAACCTACGCAAATCATGTTCTGTTGTACCTCCATAACATCTAATTAATTACATATGAAAATAGCAAAAGAAAAAAAAAAGGTAAAAAGTTTTACTACCCAGTTGTATCAATCAAAATAATTAACTGAATAAATGGAAATCACAAAGAATTGTATTTTATATATGATTTAACAGAAATTGAAAAAGAAGCTGACCTTGGATTTGGCAGTCAATTGAGTGCAAATAGCAATTACAGCGACTGCAATCTGAATTCTAGGGTTTCAGACGAAAACGATGACGTCTCTGCTCCATGCAAGCCTTTTTTGAGTGCTACTACCACTTTATATTGAATCCACCCTGAAATACAAGGGCATTATTCGGCATAAGTTGCTATTTAATCATGTAGCTAAGTTGCTCCCAACCTCAAGAGCTCTACACAGATGCTGATATAGTCCTCAGTGGTTGTAAGATTATCTTTGTAGCAGAGTCAATGATTGTAGACAAGGCAAAGCAAGTATATATTTGATTCTATTCACAAGCCACAAACAGAAATATCTAAATACTTTTGCCATAACTAGAACCATAACCAATTGATACAAAATGCTAAATTCTGCTTTTATAAAGCCATCAACCAGATGCTAGAGCAACTTTTCATCAAATTCAAAACAGATTTTACAACAAAACAATATTAGGAGACACAAATGAATGATTCATACAGTGACATTAAATTTTTAAACCAATGCCAGACAAAGGTCCCAAGACACGTGCACACACAACCAGAAACCACAATTAAAACTTAGGAACATTCAATTATGAGCAGAGAAAAATCCTTTACTAGAAACTAATTATGCTTGAACTTAGTTACAACTTACAACTTACATTAAAATCAAAATTCCATTAGGAAACAAAGAGCATGATATTTTGCTTACAGATGAAGGATGGAATCCAAAATCAAAACCAACTACAAGTGTGTCACATTATTATTCTTATTATTATTTACCAAGCAACAACCGAAAAAGCAGAATTTTCACCCACTTTATATCACAACCTCTTGGTTTGGGTCTTCCCTGGTAGCAAAGAAATTGTTGATTGACAATTGTATACATTTGTATGTTGCTAACTGTATTTCTAATAACTAACTGAGAGAAATTGATATGTAATTGATTTGTCATTATTCAAGAGGCAAAGCCACAGATTTATAGTTACAAAAGCATCCTAATATGGTTCCTACGATCAAGCTATATCATTCACAAATAAGGAAAGGAATGATTTACAATATTCACAGAATCCACATTCCATTCTAAGCTCGATCTCCTTCAACACTCCCCCTCAAGTTGGAGTGTATGTTGATGACACCCAACTTGCTAAGTAGCACTTCAAACTGTGTCGAGCTTAATGGCTTAGTGAACAAATCGGCTGGCTGATTTGCAGTTCGAATATGAGCTGCCCGAATCATCCCTTTTTGAATTTTCTCTCGAACCAAATGACAATCTATCTCTATGTGTTTGGTTCTCTCATGAAACACCGGATTCGATGCTATGTGTATAGCCGCCTGATTATCACAAAACAGAGTTACTGGCTGCGTGTGATCAACTCCCAAATCCTTCAAAATGCTCTTCAACCATGTGACTTCGCAGCAAGTAGCAGCCATGGAGCGATACTCGGCCTCCGCACTTGAACGTGATACCGTTGTTTGTTTCTTAGTCTTCCAAGAGACCGGTGCTTGCCCAAGTAAAATGCAGTACCCCGTGATTGATCTCCTTGTGTCTTTACAACGTGCCCAATCGGCATCACAGAATGCCCGCAATTGGAGTGACCCTGTAGATGGTAGTAGAATTCCTTGACCCGGTGTATGCTTAATGTACTTAAGCACTTTATGGGCTGCTTCCAAATGTGGTTGCCGTGGCTTGTCCATGAACTGGCTCAGTACATGTACGGCATAAGTCAGGTCTGGTCTAGTTATGGTCAAATATATCAACCTCCCAACCATTCTTCTGTACGACGAAGCATCATCCAGTAATTTTCCATTGAACTGTGAGAGTGATAGATTCTGTTCCACTGGGAACCGAGAAGGTTTGACACCTAAAAATCCAGCATCATCCAAAATCTCCAAGGCATATTTACGTTGCGACAAACTGATTCCATGCCGTGATCTGGCAACTTCAATGCCAAGGAAATATTTCAACTGCCCCAAATCCTTAAGCTTGAACTGGTTAGCCAAGAATAATTTCGTGTTCTCTATATCCTCCAAATTGTTCCCTGCCATTATGACATCATCAACATATACAAGCAGTACTAGGAAGTTACCTTGACGACGACGGACGAACAGAGAATAATCGGATCGTGATTGTTGGAATCCTGCGGCTTTGAGGGCAGTAGACAGCTTGATAAACCACTGTCTAGATGCCTGTTTTAAACCGTACAACGACTTGTGCAATTGACAGACCCGATTCTCCCCCTTTCGTCCGAAACCAGGAGGCAAGGACATGAACACCTCCTCATCAAGGTCACCATTCAAAAATGCGTTGTTCACATCCAATTGGTGGAGATGCCAGCCACGCAGGGATGCCACACTAAGGAGAACACGGACTGTCACCAATTTGGCAACCGGGGCAAAAGTTTCCTGGTAATCAATGCCTTCCACCTGACTGTAACCCTTTGCCACTAAGCGAGCTTTGTAGCGTTCGACCGTGCCATCGGCCTTCAATTTCACCTTATATACCCACTTACAGCCAATCGGTCGTTTATGAGGGGGCAACGACACCAAGCTCCAAGTCCCATTAGCCTGTAACGCATCAATCTCAGATTTCATGGCGGTACGCCATTGGGGAATTTGGACTGCCTGAGAGAAACTCGTAGGTTCTTGCAGAAGGGTAAGTTGGGCAAGATATGTTTTGTGAGAGTGAGAAAGTTGAGCATAAGACAAGGACTGAGAAAGAGGGTGAGCCGTACCTGAAGGGATGACCAAGTTCGTGGAAGACATCGGTGTGGTCCTTGAAAGGAGGCCAGGCTCGATGTGGAAGTCTCACAAATAAGCAGGCGGTCGGATGGAGCGACCGCTGCGACGTGGAGCGATGGTGGGAGATGTGGGCGACAGAGATGGGTAAGGAGAAGGCAGCTCGATGAGGTCTGGATTGGGGGATGAAGAAGGCAGATCCGTGAGGTCTGGGGTAGGTGTGATGGGTAAAGTGGGGTCAGATGGGCTGGTGGGTGGAATGGGCCCAGCAGTGGGGGAAGGCAGATGGGCTTGGGAGAGGGAGTCCATGTCAAAGTGTAAGAACGGGTCAAGGTGAGGGGAAGAAAGGTTGGGCAAATGGTGATGAGGTGGTGACGCAGCGGATTGGTGAGGAATAAGAAAAGGAAACACATTTTCAAAAAAACACACATCACGAGAAACAAGCACCTTTTGTTGATTGAGATAAAAAACGCGATATCCTTTTTGACCATAAGGATATCCTAAAAAAATACACCGAGATGCTCGGGGATCAAATTTCGAACGACTCTGTGCATGGGTAGAAGTAAAACACAAGCAACCAAAAACACGCAAATGGGAATAAGTAGGAGTTTGGTTAAACAACTTTTCATACGGGGTTTTGCCATCGAGAAGAGGAGTGGGTGTTCGATTTATGAGGTATGCGGATGTGAGAATGGCATCCCCCCAAAAACGATGTGGGAGCCCAGCCTGAATGAGCAAGGCACGGGCCATATTTAACAAGTGTCTATGTTTTCTTTCAACAACCCCATTTTGTTGGGGTGTGTTGATACAACTAGTTTGATGCATGATACCTTTATCAGCATAGAAGCTGCCAGGGTTGAATTCAGGGCCATTGTCACTACGGATGATCTTAATTTTGGAATCAAATTGAGTAGCAATCATATTGATGAAATTAACTAGAAGAGTCCTAGCATCAGACTTGTGTTTCATAAGATAAATCCATGTGCATCTAGTGTAATCATCAACAATGGTAAGAAAATATTTGGCACCTGAAATCGAAGCAACTTTATAACCACCCCATATGTCAATATGAATTAAATCAAAACGAGAATGAGTAGTAATTGAACTTGAAGGAAAAGGAAGTTTTGTTTGTTTAGCCAAAGGGCAAATTGCACACTTGTCAGTATCACAAGAGGTATGTTTCAAATTTGAAAAAGAGAATAATGGAAGAACTCTGGGAGATGGATGGCCAAGGTGTTGGTGCCAAAGGGATGGGCTGGATTTTTGTGCCTGATTGCATGTTCCTGTCTTGCCTCGATCGAGATAGTAGAGGCCCTCCCGTTCAATTCCCGTCCCAATCATCATCCCCGAACGTAGGTCCTGTATGATACAAAAGTGGTTTAGAAAAATGGTTATGCAAGATGAATTTGCTAACTTGCTAATAGAAATCAAATTCAATTTGAAATACGGGACACACAAAACATTCTCAAGAATCAATTTGGGGGACAAGACAACTGTGCCAATGTGGGTCACTTGTGCCACGGACCCATTCGGCAATTCTACTGTGTGATTGGTGACCGGCCTCGAGGTAGAGAACAAGTTGGAATCATAAATCATATGGTCCGTGCATCCACTGTCTAAAATCCAAGTACTCTGTTTGCCATTAGAGTTGAGTGAAAAAGCTTTACCTGAAAGAGCATGGGTTGTGGAATTACCAACATGATTAGCAGAAGAGGACCTGTTGTGCAGCTCACTCAAGATCTGTTTGCACTCTTCAGCAGTAAAGGGAAATTGCATCTCCTTCCTCTCTGTCACACACGTTGCTGCTTGGTTCCCTTTGGAAATCATCGCACCAAACTCGGCCTCAGCCGCTGCCTTCTTCTTGCGGCAATAATCAGCTGTGTGACCCTTCCATCCGCAAAACGTGCATTTTAGGTGTGCACGGCAGTTCTT